AATAAGCTGGCAATCATAATTTATATCGACCGTAGAAACTAACAATGAAAAGAGAAATATCCCAACCTGGCATTCTCTATATATCGTGGATTACAATTCCCATAATTCTCAGCATAGAAAGCTGAATTAGACGGTCAGATTGCGTGAGAAGAATGGTAGTTTCAAGAAGATTTATTGAGATTGAATGTTTACCTTATTTAAAATCCTGGAAAGCATGAAAACTGTTATCATATCTAAATTCCTCTACTTTTCAATATTTATTAATATTATTATTAATAATATATTAATATATTATTCCAAATAAATGTTATAACTCAGCCCAGGTTTGATGGGCAGCTATCTCTGTCACAATGATTATGACAATTTGATAATGCTATTTTTAGATAAACAGAGACTCTATGTATGTTAAAGCTGCTTTAACAAAAATGTGTTAACAGGAAAGACAGAACAAAGTATTATAATAAGCATCTGACTGAATAATGCCATATATTGTCTTGTTGATTCTTTGCTTCTCTATATCTTACTGAAGACTTCAGTCATAATTTTTTGGTTAAAACTATTTAAAAATGTAAAAAGCAGATCCCAGATCAACAATTGGAGTAATAAATTCATCATTAGGTCTAATCAGAATGAGCAAGTAAGCTTTTGAGTTGTACAACAGTTAATCAGGCAAGACACGAATATAAGAGATATAGAAAAACCAAGAATATTCCAGATTATGCCACATGTCATACTCATGATGTCTACAGACAAGCTGAGTCTTGAGAAAAGTTTGTTAGATTGAATGCATTCAGTACTAGTAGCATCAGATACAAGAAAAGGTTTTCTGTCCATAGCCATTCATTTCCAATCTGTTTCTAAGCACTAGAGGTACAGTCACTTGGTTACCAGGGAGAAAAATAAATAAACATTAATGTTTATATTAGCAATCAAAAAAGAATCAATTAAGCTAAGGTGTGTGGCAATGGTTCTATTACCTAATTCAGAGTAATTCAGTTTACTAGTGTTGACATATAAAGCATGTAATAAGACATGGATACTGATGGAGCATTTGAATCACATGCTTTTCTGGTCATAAAGATGCAATAGACAGCTGAAAGAAGAAATTCTTAAGGAGGAGTCCTGACTGAAATTCCCTCTCTGTCCATTTGGTAGATGATAGACTTTATAGTTTTTAGAATACAGCTTAATTTGTCCTGCCTGAATCTGTGGTCCTTCATATTTTCCACAACGTTACATGGTTGCATTGCTTTTATCTTACTTGATACCTCCTCTCTGAAAGTATTATATAAAGATTAAAACTAACAATGCATGTTCTAAAGAAATAATTTCAAAAAATATTCTCAAAACCTTTCACTTCAAGTAATCTAGACTGATCTACTGCATAATTTACTTTCAACTAAATGCATTTTTTTCTGGCAAATTTCTTGCCTCTAAATGAAAACAAATAAAAGGTAGAATGCATGCATCTTCAAAGGACCATTTCAGGTGAGGTCTTATATGACAAAATTCTCTTCCATTCTTGAACAATAATATAAGGTGTCACAAATGCATCTCACTTTACTCTTATCCTCAATACACTTAATTTCTCAATGAAGTGACTTTAAAATTGCATCAGTGAGCATTCAGTTATTTGAACCTCTTTCTATTTACAGNTTTTCAAAACACCCCTCTAAAAATCTAGTCAATTTGGGTTTTTTCCCATATTCACTGTCAAGCCAGCCCACCTCACAAATTTTATTATGTATTATTTATGTATTTATCCTTATTTTAAGGATAAAATTATGAGACCCCCCCTTTGTAAGTCCCCTTGAGTTGAGATATAAATTCAGCAAATGAATGAATGAAAGAAAGAAATGGAAGTAATTGGTTACATTCAAGTTCAGAAACAGATATGAAAAAATTCATTGCCATGGCTTCTCCCAATTGTGTGTCTTCGTCTTGTCATCTTGTGTATTTTCATTCGAAGTGAATATGGCTAATGTATGTCATCTCAAAAATGGTGTTTCTGATTATTTCAAAGTATTAAATACACACACAGTTTCTAACACTAAATCAGACACATTCAGAAGGAGAACTTGGCAATATTTTTTTTCACATCTTCTGAGAAAGAAAGTCTTTCAGGGAAAGTTGATGCCAACCACACTAATGCCAGAAAACAAATTAATCTACAATTGCTGCAAACATTTGAGTCAGATGTAATGATACTTTCATGAATTACGATGCTGTATCTTGTGCTTTCAAAACTGAAATCAGGTCTTGTGTCTTTCCATTATAGGGCTTAACTGATAACAGAAACTTGCTGAAATACAGACTTCTGTGCTACTTTTAATTGCCTTAGTATCTCTTCTGAGTCACATTCCAGCAGTTGTAAGACTTGTATCCTCATCTGAAATCTTTTGAAGAGGCCTAATTCAAATAGTTCCTTGAAGTTAAAGATAACAAGATTTTTAAATATTCACTGCATAGATAAGGTTCTGCCAGTGCAACTGTGACAGAAAATATCATTTTAGGACATCTCTGTTCTCTAGAGCAGTGGTTCTCAACCTTTTTAATGCTGCGACCCCAACACCGGTCGTAAGTCGAGGACTAAACCGGTCGTAAGTCGAGGATTAAACCGGCCGTAAGTCGAGGACTAAACCGGTCGTAAGTCGAGGACTACCCAACCGGTCGTAAGTCGAGGACTTTCCCTGCCGGGAGCGCCGCACATGCGTGGTTCCGCCCCCTGCGCCGGCCGAGGCGTAGCTGGCAAGCGGCAGAGACAGAGCAGGCCGACCACCAGCTGGCCCAGCCCAAGGGAGGTAAGGCACCCACCGGAAAAGGGGAAAAAAATGGCGGACAAAACAAATGGCGGACAAAACAAATGGCGGACAGCCTTGCTTGGCGACCCCCATGAAATGGTCGATCGACCCCAAATGGGGTCCCGACCCACAGGTTGAGAACCACTGCTCTAGAGGAACACTCTGATTTGGCCATCAACAATCCCTGTTTGTGTTATTTTTTTATTTTTAATGCTCATTTTTATTTAATTTTGCATTTATTTACAGGTATGTAATGACCCTATGCAATTTTCCATCCTAGGTGCTTCATAAAATATATATAATACAGTGCAAACGAATATCTGCTTCACCAGACTTCTTAACTAGGTATTATCTTGTATAGTCCACGAATGTGCATTTTGTGGATGCAGCTTTCTTCAAATCTTGCTTACATTTTGTTGTCTGCTAGACAGGGATAGTGAGAATTCTCAGAATTAATAATGAATGTTTTGGCATTTCAGCAATGGAACTGAAGCATGACTATTAGTTAAACAGCTGGCATCTGGCTTGCAATGTATAATCACACTTAATTGAATCATTGCCATTTTATTTAATCACTAGTAACTGCATTATAAACTCTGTAGATGTTTAGTGGTAAGAGTAACAACATCTGTCTTTTAAAGACGTGTGAAATATGTGTCACATTGCAGACGGCTGGCAAGGTGGCCTTGCTTTGCTCCACTCTTTCCCCCAGGCACATGTTGGTATTGTTGCCCTGGGTATGTAAAATGAAACTGGAATTAGAGAAGCAGAATATATCAATTATGTTTAAGCATCTTCACATCTTTGTAATAACAGAGCACTTGAACATTATTATTCAGACAATTTGGAATGTGTTGACATATTGGTTTTCAACTTGGGTTGTTATAAAGAGGTGTGGTGCAAAAATCCAATGGCTTCTCCAGTTCTAATTGGGTAAGACTTTTGTGCATTAACCAGAATGCATTGCGCATAGTGTTTCTCCAGATCAATTTTTGGATACTTCATTTCCATGGATAATAATGGCAGTCCACTTTCCACCACTCAGTATATGCCTATTTTCCCTGATTACTGAGCAAAAATAGATAAAGAATAAGATTTTAAATCATTGCACTGATAAAATTGTTCTTTAATATCCATGAACTACCTCTGTTAGCTCCCTCCTGAGATCATAAAGTTCTGTTTATCAGTTATTTATTTATTTTTTGCAGAATTCAGAATGTTAAATTTCACAGGATCTTCTGACTGTAAAATAGTTCTTCATTTTAATTTTGCACTATTCTTTGAAATAAAGAATGGCGTTTAATGTTTATGATTAAATAAATAAAAAATACCATGCTTGGGCTTTAAAATATTTTCTCCTCTTTTCTTTGAAAACATATAAGGTAAAGATTAGTAGTATTTCACATCATTATGGCTGCTGTTATTATTAAAAAGTGCATACATATGATCTCTTATTGGCCTTCTGAAACCTGAAATTCCTAGGAGAAATTAAGTCCAGAACAGGACCCAGTATTGGATCTAATGTATAACTGGGCAGAACACAAGGAAATTATTTTCCTTTATGTAAAAGTCGTGCTGTGCTACTAATACTCATAGCACTTTACAGAGTAATATAAGGCAAATTCTCTCCCCATTGGGTTACACTGTAAATTTTAGATGATACCTACCTATGAGAAGAAAAGGTTGTTTACAAGAGATGAATGCAAGAAAATTTAGAATGTTACACTTACTTTTCCTTTCCAGATGAATGAAGCCTGAACTGTATTAAATTACCCACTTTTATTGATGGAATGGGTTTCATTGGTAGAATGAAGATAAAATCCCACCTACAACCCCGATGAATGCTCCATATTTGCTAGAGAAAAAAATGGGAAGGGAATGGGAGGGTGCAAAGCAGATTTGCAGGGCCATAAAGAATGTCAGAGGAGAGGGAAAAAAAATACCTTGCTGTGTGACTGAAAGCTAATTGTAAGATACTAGATTTTATTTATGTATTTATGTATTATTTATTAAATTTATGTGCTGCTCATCTCACTCTTGGAGTGACTCTAGTCTTATGTATGATCTCTTGTATATATAAGGCGGTAGTTATTTTTGTGTAGATATTAATCAGATTTCCTGTAAGGCAGATTTTGAACACAATAGGAAAGACTATTCCTTGGATGAATGAATTTTTTTGTGTGTGTTTTCCCCCCACAGTCAATTGGGAGACAATATGGAGAGCTAATACTATGAAGAAATTTGAGATCCATATGAACATGAACAGCAACGTTGGACTACTGAGAGTCTTCCCTGGAATTACTGCTACAGCGGTCAGCCTCCCACTTCCTCAGAACATCTCAGAGCAAGTTTGAAGTGTTGATTCCATATAATTAATATGCAATGAGAAAAGATACTTGGTATTACCCAGGTTCATTGCTGGTATTTAAATACTCTCAGAGAATTAGTATTGAACTAATTATCTTTCAGTACATGCTTAGATGTGGTCAACACTTCCAAGAACACCGTTATGTTAATATTTGTAATAGGAAGTTACCAGATTTTGGGGGCTTCTGTGGCCAAAAGAATCTTCTGAATTTTTGACACTTGAGAAACACTTTTATATTATTTATGGCTTGAGGATGTTGAAGTATGAAAAGAGTAATTTGCATTGGAGAAGTAGGCTGAGCCCTTTATACTGTGGTTTTCTCACAAAAATGACGCTGAGGATGCAGAAGTTGGACACATTTCTGTCCTGACTGCCATTGTATGCCTGACATATATTTGGAGGCATGCTTCTTCTGGTCCAGAAGCAGAATTGGTCTTCCAGGCTTCCATCTTCAAGATGGGCCTGATCTTCATGAACCTATTTTTTTAAAAATATTCTTCCCACGATAATCAAAAAACTCTAGGCAGGTTCATCAAATGTTTCTAAAACAACCACAGGATAAAATCAGATTTAATTAAATCAAAATAAAAAATAGGCAAGCTATGATATAAGAGCTTAAAAATCAGCAAAACCAGACCTCAGCCTCAACCAATAAATAGTGATGACATTTGTAATTCAAAAGCTCTCTCAAATAACTTAGTTTTAAATAATTTCCAAATAGCTAATAAAGTGGAGGAGCTGATCAAATCTATCCTTTTCTCTTTTAAAGACATCCATGTTAGGAATCATTAGTGCATCTTTTGGTAATAAAAATGCTCTATTTAAAGAGCTATTTTTTGACTCTTCTAAATTTCCTCCTGATCAGCATCATTATATAAGCCCCAATTTTCATATTTTAAGAAGGAGGAAAAAAAATCTCCATGCCCATTTCTCCATGCCATGCATGTTTTATATGTCTCACTCACTAGTTTTCCAAACTAAAGAAAATGTTTGAGTCTGCTATTTGTTTTGATAATCATTTTCTGCACTTTTTCTAACTCTGTGTATTCTCTTTCAAATGGGGTGACCAGAATTGTACATAGTATTACAAATGAGGATGTAGCATAGATTTGTATAAAGCCATTACAAATTTGGCAGTCTCATTCTCAATTGCTTTCCTAATGATCTCTAGCATAGAATTTAATTTTTTCAAAGTTGTACACTGTCAACATCTTCACTGAGCTAATCACAAGATGTATTTAAGATCTCTTCCTTGGTTTGTTGCAGATAGCTCAAACCCTATCAGCACATAAATTAGGTATTACAGCTTGTTGCCCAATGTGCAACATTTCACACTTAGTTAAACTGAACCTCTATAGTCATTTGGTTGATCATTCATCAAGGTTTTTTTTTTAAAAAAAACCTTTTTAAGCTTTTCAAAATCATTTTCTATGTCATTACTCCGAATAATTTTATATCATCCGCAAACTTGGCCAGTTTATTCCTTACTCTTAAATCAGGATATTTTTTTTGAAAAGTTAAAGACCCTAGTCTTAATACAGGGTCTTGAAGAATTTCATTTCTAGGCTTCTTCTGTTGATAAAATGGCTTATTCCTATTCTTTGCTTTCTGTTTTTTAGTCATTCAAAGACAAGTCTTCTGATCTCTTGACCACTGTGTTTACTCAACAGTATTTGGTGAGAAACATTGTACCTACTGGTGGTCAATGTAACTGAAAAATACCATAGAGGATATATACTGAATAAAAATAGAGACATTCAAGAAAGAGGGTGGAAGTCACATTAAATCCTGTACATTAGGACATGATATAAACTACACATCTCTCTGTCTGACAGTGTGAAGAAAGATAGACTGTATAGGTCATTCTGAGAGTTCCTTAAAAATCCAAGTACACAGTGTTGACAGAGCCTTGCATGTGCCATTTACAATCCCACAGAACTCTAGAAGATTGGTAAGGAAGAATTCTTGGATGGATCCCATCAACAGAGATTTGTTACTCTAACCACTCAAGATATCCTAGAATATTTTCCCTTTTTTTCTCAGTTTGCTTTATTTATCTTGATCATTTCCCTGAAAAAGCCAATACGGCTTCAGATATATGTCCCATATCTTCTGTTCTTCATATACGTTTTATAGCTAGGAATTATTCTAGTCCATTAATTCTCTTCATTCCAGCAGGTTTATGTTATATTATACATAAGTATTTATGACCTTGTTTGCAACAAAGTACTCTAATTTTCCATTCTTGGCTTGGACACTTCTAGCATTGGCACAGAAACACCTATGCTATACACTAGATCCCTTTGTACATCTTGCCTTTTTGTTTCCTGACTGTCATGTCCACTGATTAACTCACAATACTGTCCCTATTCCTTATATTATTTTCTAAAAATTGTATACCCTTCCACCCTGGATGCTGCTTCCTATCTGTTGATTTTTCCTTAGGGATCAGTGGAAAAGCTGCTCTTCAGCTTTTTTTTAATAATATGCCAGCAGCCTAGTTCCATTTTGGTTCAGGTGGAGCTTGTCTATCTTGTACAGGGTTGACTTGTTCCAAATCTTTTCTTGGTGTCTAAGGAATTTAGTCACAAATCTGAGATAACTCTGTATTGAGATCTCCCAGTTTTGCTTGCTTAGTTGACCCTAGTAGATATTAGGCAATATATTATAATATGAGAATGCTACCTGGGCAATTGTAAAATTAAAGCTGCTAATTCATAGCCTAAATTTGGCTTCCAGGACTAGCTAAATAAATTTTCTAATATGCCAGGGATCAAAATTATTTGCAGAACAACTAGTAAATAGAGATAATTAAAGCCTTGGGAAAAAGGGCATATCTACTTAAAATTTATTTAATATATTTATGTGGCCATCTAACTCAACCAAAGTGTTTTTGTCCAGCTCACAAAATTCAACAAAACCTAATAAGGAGAACATAAAACCATAGATTATAAACTGACAATAATAAAACAATAAAATGGTGATCCAAACAGAAATAATACCATCATCTAATCACGGTTCCAACATATCATGATTCCAGAGAAACAACCTGTCTTGACAGCAAAGTCAAGGCCAGCTATATGGTGGGATAAAGGTTGTTCCATAAAATAGGAGTTGCCACTATAAAGGTCCATTTCCTGGGTCCCACACGATAACATTATTTCAGTTAATGGATCCAGAATGCATATGGGGCAGACATATATCTTGATTAGAAGGTAGCCCCACAAGTATACTGGTCCTATGCCATGTAGAACTTTAAAGATGATAAGCAGCATCTTGAATTGTAGCCAGAATCTAATGGGGAACCAGTGTGGCTTGTAGAGTGCATATGGTCCTTGGTTAAGAACTACTCATTCAACAACCATTCATTCAATTCCATTACAAGTTTATATTCAAACTTGTAATGGAATTGAATGAATGGTACTTAAGATTGATCCTCAAAGTTTTGGATATTCTGCAGTCACATTGGCAACCACAAGCAAAGTCATTGGGGAAGATGGCGGGAAGCCAGAAGTTACACTTACATCAGGTCCTTTCTTAATAAACCAGGGACTGCCAAAATTGCCATTGCTAAATGGCACGGTGACATAGTGTCGAACTTTATGACCATACCTCTTATTGATAGAAATCTGGTCCCAATTACTATTTAAATGAGGACTATTGTAGTGGTGTCACATGGGCATAGTGAGAGGAATCCATAAATGCCTGCGCTGTTGGATTCTGGACTAAATGTAGCTTTATGAAAGCCCATTTAGTTATGTGACAGATTCAATTGGAAGATGATTAAATGGAGATTTTCACTGTTAAGTAAGAAATCACACAGACAAATATCTTAATTAAGAATTGGAGAAAATGATATGAAAGAAGAAATGAAACTTTTGGAAGATCAGAGGAGAAGAAGAAAAGAAAATTTATATTAAGATAGGATTATTCATGAGTTATCATGGAAGAGATTTGATTCATGTAAATGAGGTTAAAAAAAGACGAGGAAGTATATTGAAACCCTTTACAGATGTGACTTAGAGATAATATTTGCAGAGAGAATATATATTCAGAAATCAATTCCATTAGAAAGTGGGATACAATAAAACAGTTGTCAAGTAGAAAAGCACTGGATGCATATGAAATATCTATGTAACTGTTTAAAGCTAGAGGACAAGATATAGTTAAAATCAAAACAGCTCCATGTCAAAAAATAAGAAACAAGATTACTAAGCTAGAGACTGGAAAAATTTGCTGTATATGCTGAAAGGCAGTAGAGGAACCCAAGATCAGATGATTAATGTAGCACAAAAAATGGACTGAACAAGAAAAATACAAGAAGAATTCTATATTTCTACACTGATTACTGTATAGCAAGACCATTGATTGGTCTTAATATATGTTGGAGTTTAAAAGGGTAACTGATCGTTCTTTTGAGACACTTTTACAATGAGCAAGAAGCAATAGCAAGCACTGGGTGTGGAGAAACAGAGTGGTGCTGAATAGGGAAATGAAAAAGACAAAGATGTATATTCTATTTAACTTAAATAGTGAATATAATATGAGATTGACAGCAATGGACAAGATAGATGGAATCAAAATAGACAGTTTGAAGTCTAGCAAATAATGGCCTTAAATTTTTGCAAGGTTTATAGTGCCCATTTTGCTCCTTAATAACCTCCCAAACACCTAAAGAGCCTGAAAAAATTGGCCATTTTTTTTTGCTTCATCTACTGGGGCCACCAAACGGGAGCTGCTGGGCTTCACATTTTGCACACAGGATCTATTTATGCATGCTTTTTATTCACAAATATAGCAGAATGAAAACTTTTAGATGACAGTAATGATAAAATGATTCCATTATATCATTACACTTGCTAATTGGTTGTTAAATTCTTTTTTTCTTCATGATGAAAGCAGAGGCTTACATTGAACAGAAAGTTCAAAATTTAGACATAACACAAAGATGCTGTAACTTAGGTTTCATAATCTTTAGAGGCCTCTTAAAATTTCAGATTTTTTTTAAATATAGGAAATTAAATTAAGCATTTCAGTATGGTCACATGGCCCTCACTAATTGATTAATGCATGCTTTGTTTCTGCATGCACTAACACCTTTTGTTCAAAGAGGGCCCATCCCCACCCCACCACAGGTTTCTTATGCATCTTGGCAGCAGTCTTGCCAAGTTCAGTTGTTACACAGCTTTATTCTCTGCTGGTACTTGTCAGGTAGAGCCTCTACAACTTCTCATAGCTTGGGGCCTCACCATGTCTAAACCTGGCTCCACCCCCAGCCAAAGACTAGGGCTACAGTTCTTGTACCCTACCAACTGCCCCTCATATAGCTTCAGTCCCATTCACAAGTGTGCTGCTCTAGCTATGAAATGAGGCTAGTCTGCAAACGTACATTAAACAAAGGAAAGGTGTCCTAATTTTCTGCTGTAACACTGTTACATTTAACCATTTAAAATTTTTATCTTTCATCTTCTTCTACTGTGTCAGACTTCAAGTAAGATATTTTCCAGCATTGTGTAATTAAGGTTTAGTGATTAGAACTAGGCGATCCTAGCAGATGGCCTTCAAGGTCTGTATTAGAAGTCTATAATTCTAAGTGCAAAAGTAAATGCAAGCTGTTCACTCTGGAGTGATATATTAATGTTCTTATTTAAGTAGATTATTTTAACACATCATAATTAAAATAGGCAGATTACCTGCATCTTTCTGGATCATCATATTTTTCTCATTTTTGAGTATAGCCTGTCTTTGCTTACTCAACATTTCTTTGTACACAGGGCAGTGCTGTATATATTAGCTGTACTTTTCCCCACCCTTAATTAGCCTAGAAACACTCAGAAACTCTAGCCAGCCATAGCCAGTAGTGTGACATACTATAAGCCATCGATTCTTGTACAAGGGTTTGCATCAATGTGAGAGTGTGTGTTTATATACACATGTGTGTTTGTAACATCCATCTTTAATATTTAGCACTTCTGTTGCTTTTTGAAATTTTATTTATTAAGGGATCTATGCTACTCCACTCAAAAGACAACACTGAGTTAGTTATTTTCTTCATTACAGAATTAATATGATTATTCATACATTTTGGATTGATCTGAGAAGAAATAAAATTGTATTGCATGACTCAAATGAGTTGGATGCTTGCACTGTAATTTCTCATGCAGTTTTCCTCTTCCAAGCAGGTAAGGGCATTTCTTCAGAGCTCTATGGAAGGCATTGTACTTGAGACCTATGGGAGTGGAAATGCTCCAAATAATTGTCCAGAATTACTAGATTTGCTGAGGAAAGCTACTGATTCCAATGTTGTGATTTTGAATTGCACCCAATGTCTGCGAGGGTCGGTATCATCAGTCTATGCCACAGGAAAGGTGAGAGGAATTCTGCAATCTAAATCACTCTTCCCAACTTGGTGACTTTCAGATAATTCCCATGATCCTAAATGCACTTGTAAGATGGCAGATTTAAATAATATGCTTAGCTAGCGAATATACTTGCTTTTCTTCTCTTACAGACCATTCCATTCCAAAGATTACAAATGACTTCCATACAATTAAAACATAAGTATCACTAACATGAGCATAATGACAAGAAGGCTCAGATGTATCAGGCAGCAAAATCTTCACTTTGAACAGCTCTTTCAAATATAACACGGGTCACATAGTCCAAATAACTGGGGGTATGCTATTCTAGAAGTCTGGAGCCATCAGTTAGATATCCGTGTAGGTAGTACTTCCTCAGAGTTGGCATCCTTAGCACTGGATTTTACTAGATGGGCAAATTCAACTTGCGGAATGGGACCTGGGAGATATCCAGGCTTTCAGAAATTGATTGGCAGCCAATACAGCTCCCTTAGTAGAGATATTATATGGTTGAAGCTAGGCATTCCCAATAATAGCTCAGGCCATTGCCTGCTGAACCAGCTGAAACTTCTGAATGGTTCTCAAGGGAAGTGCTATCTAGAGCACATTGCAATATTTCAGCCACAAGGTGACAAGAACGTGAGTGGTCAAGAGCAAAGCTTCCTGTTCTAGAAATGACTGCAACTGCTCTACAAGATGTCATTGTACAAAAGCCTTTTTTGGCCACAACCATCACCTGCTATTCAAGCTGGAGCTGCAAGTCCAAACCAGCTCTAAGCAGTGCAGTCTCACTGAAAGTCACGGCAGATTGTGTCTGGAAACTCTTGATTCAGAATTTACAGGATAATACTTGGGTTTGGGCTGATTGGCGCATTCTGGATTCAGAAAAAAAATATATAGATATCAGTTTGGGGGCGGAATTACTATTTGTCTAGTCCAGGGGTGTCAAACTGCCGGCCCGCAGGCCGATTGCATCATATGGAGGCCGCACCCACCCCAGCTCCGACAATGCAAAAAAAGTCATGATACGTCGTGACACGTCACGTGACACGGTGAGTTTGACACCCATGGTCTAGTGCCAGTGTTTCTCAACCTTGACAATTTTAAGGCATGTGGACTTCAACTCCCAGAATTCCACAGCCAGCAATGCTGGCTGTGGAATTCTGGGAGTTGAAGTCCACATGCCTTAAAATTGTCAAGGTTGAGAAACACTGGTTTAGTCCTTTTCTCTTGTTTGGAGCATACCTTTATTTAGATTACTCAGAGTGATGTTTAGTAAGATTGGTGGAAGCCCTCATTTTCCATCCAGAAGGTTTGATGAGGGGTATTCAAATCCCAAAGTTGATGACTTTAAAATATGAATATACAAATGGAATAATAAAGTCAGAAGGAACCATTAGGGCTACAGTTTGCCACTTACACACTATTACCAAGCAATGGCTTGAAGCACCATATTTTAGCAGTGTTTCCAAAAAGAGCTGAACTGATAAAGTTCCTGATTCAAACAGTGTCCCATCTTTGAACAAATGTATTTGAAGGTTTTAATTAAAATATTTTAACTCATGTTTTAAATATTTAATATTTTAATTATTAGTGAAATAGTTTTAAAAGTATGGGGACCATATTCAGCAAAGGAAATACGCTGTTCTGAAACAGTATGGAATGTTAAGGTATTTATTATTTTCAAAACTTGACATTTTTATTATTAGATTCTTCTTAAAGATTGTTTCAATTTTTTTCATTAAGAAGTTATTTTAAATGAGAGATAAGTATTGAAGTTTGCCTTTTAATCTTTTGAAAAGTATCTGGAGGTGTCTTTTGCTTGCATCACATGGCCAGACATTTGTATTTGATGAACCCTTATTTGAAAATAATTCCATGCTTTGGAAATGCTTGAACATGATTTGGAAATATTATTTTGTATCTAACCATTTATAGGGACTACTGTATACATTTTTGAATAATACACTGGAGTGAAAATATTGGAGGTTTTTAGGATTAAAAGTAAATGCTAAAAGAAAGTCAAAACTTTGTTTTGGAGATGTTTTCCTTAATTATCCCCGGTTAACCAAGACAGTATGCCTCCAAGAGGTATAGCATGGATGGCAGATTGTATCCAAGGCAGATGTGATTTGAAAAGTAGGATAGGACCAGGTTTAACTGGTTGTGCCAATTAATAGAATTATGTCAGATCTGGCACTTGGAACTTTTTAATTTCTTTTTTTATAACCCCCATTGTATCACAAAGGTGACTAGTTCTTGCACCAATCACTTCTAAGGTTGTGGTTTTTATGCCTAATTCACCTTAGCAGATAAAGACTGTCATGTACAAAGACGTATGTATTTATTTTTAGTATTTAATTAAAAAGCCTGGTTTAGGATTGTATATTTACTGCTTATAATAGCTGCTTTTCTTTGGTTTTAAAATGGCTTTGCTTTTCCAGGAAGTATTTTGGCTCAAAGGCTTGCCATTAGCAAATGGTTGTGAGACTGTCATTGAGGTAATGAAAAAGAAGGAATCTTAGGTTATGAGAGACATATACTGAATACAATTTGCGTTTGAGTGAAACTACCCTGTGAGACTGTTCTACAAACATGCTCATCTATTTTAATTTAGCATGTATCTTGAGAAGATTCCAAGTTCAATGGCTTTCCTTCAAGATTGAATAGGATAGTTTTTTGTTATAAAAACTCAATTCTGGACATGCCAATTGCTGTATTACTATAATATATGTAAAATAACTAATAGCTGAAAGCATGGCAAATACACTGAGAATATGTTACTTTATAGTATACTATAGCAAAAAAGCCTGTTTGTTATTGGTATGATTTCAACAGGCAGACCCCATTCCTGATTAGCTTTGCATTGTGAATTAAGATATTATTATTATTTTTTAAAAGCCTGTGTTTAAAATGCGCCATGTCTAAGGAAGTAAGCAAATGAAATCAATTTTTTTAAAAATAAGATATAAGTTATCAACAGTTCATTACCCAGCAAAATAATATTGACATCTAGATCAAAGGAATAATAAAATTAAAATCTTGTTTAAATACTCAAATTTTATTCTAGGCATTCACACATTTACCAGAACTTAGTAAATAATGATAACAAATATTAAATTGTATTGATTGGTGCAATAGCAGAAAGCATGTCCATTAATGCATGGAGAGAAGTTCTTTGTTCACTAATTCCTTCACAAACAAGCTGCCCCCCCCAAATTCTTCCTGAGATTTGTAGCATTGGAAGAATATTGGTTGAGCAGACAGCACTGAAAGCAGTCAGTTATGACCATTTTTCACACTTATGACCATTGCAGCATTCCCATGATCACGTGATCAAAATTTGGATGCTTTGCAATTGGTTCACATTTATAAAGATTGCAGTGTCCCAGGATCATGTGATCATGTTTTGCAACCTTCTGACAAGCAAGGTCATTGGGGAAGCCAGAAGCCAGAAAAGTCATAAAATGGGGCAAAACTCACTTAACACATGTCTCCTGAGCAACAGAAATTTTGGGCTCAATTGTGGTTGCAAGTCAAGGTCTACCTGTATTTGCCCCAGAGCTGTTTTTCAATCTAGTTATATTAGAAAGCAGTGCATTAATTCAAGTTGCATTTTTTCCCATGCCATTGAATATAGACTCTCATGGATGCTGGGGTAATTCCAGGAGGGGATATGACACCAGAAGCTGCTCTTGCCAAGTTGTCCTATGTCCTGAGCAAACCTGGACTTACTTTTGATCAAAAGAAAAAGGTAAAATGACTTTTTCTTTTGAGTTTTTAAATGTGTACTTTCCTTACCTTTATTGCACATAGGATCCAACAAACTGCATAACTAGTAGCTCATGGCCAAGGGAAGTCTCTGTCTGTATTCTTTAAAGAACAGCCTGCTCCTGGTGCTGCCTAGGAAAAGAAAAATAAGCTACACACAAAAAAACCCCTAAGCAGGGTCAAAACATATAGAGATAATTTGTTTGATTATTAATGTGTGTGAAAATACACCCAGTGGAATCAGTGTGCGTGGGTAAGTCCATTCAAGATTCATATTAATGAGAATAAATAGGAATTGGATAGCAACAGCAAGGTTAATATTGACAATTTGGTGATGATGACGATGATGATAATCATCATGATCATGATGTTGACATAATATTCTCATCCTCTGTCAAATATGATGATGATGATGATGATGATGATGATGATGATGATGATATTGACATAATATTCTCCTTCTCTATCAAAAATCTCAAGTTAACCTTGGCCCCAAAATAAAAAATAAGTGAAGCAGTTCACTTCCATTCTCTTGAGTGATCCTCAGAAACGGTTGTTGCCTGCTGAACTTCAGAGACAAAACAGTGAAAAATCCTGCTGAACTTTTTTTAAAGTTCTATCCCATAGTCAAAGAAAGTCTTTAATATTTAATTGCTGCCCATTCATTATGTTTTTTGTAACTCCCAGAGGCTGAAAAAATAGTACCTACAGTACAATATAGGTAAAAAGATATTACCTATTCTTAATTTAACTGCTGCTAATGGGAGAGAGACCCATTTTAATAAAGAATCTTCCCCAGTATGCCCACAGTGTGGTTTATGGTGTACTTAGAGGCTTGTAGGTCAAAGTTTAACATAAAAAATAGCAAACCAAGAAAATACTGCAGACTTTTTACCCATGAAGCAATAGAATTCTACATATTCTACTGCAAGGTGTTTCCTATAACCTATGGATACTTGGTGAACTGTGGGAAAAATATGTGTATGTTTTTAGTAACTAGTGTTAGGAATGCTGCTAACTCAATGATAGTTGAAAGATGGTATAGAGAGAACAGCTACACATGTCCCTTGCTAAAAGTTATCCTGTTGTTTGGGAAGAATCCTTGTATATATTAAAAAATTGGGGCCTAACTTCCCTGGAATTAAACTTCCCTTTAATTCCCTGGAATTAAAAAATTCCCACACCTACAATGTTTTTTTTATTTTATTCTTTTTCAGACATGCCTAAACAGTATTAAAAATGAGATAGTCTTTCCCACAGTACTCTTGCTTTCTTTAACTTTGTACAGCCATGCTTCTAGATAGATAGGCATCACTAGGCATGTATATTTCCATATTCTCTCTAATCAGGGAACAATTCTGCATTACACAAGCATTCTGCATGTATGTGCAACACTGTTTTAATTTTGTTTTAAGTCTTTCCTCAATATGATCCCAGAACCTCTCCTCTTCCTCAGTTTCTAAATAATTATCAGTGTTATTGTCAGAACCAGACTGGGCTTAGCTATGGCATTTTACAGGTTAAAGGCTCTCAGATCACAGTGGTTGACAGTGGCCTTTTGTCTTTGTTAGGGTTAGATTCTTGAGACAAATTGACATGGAACCTTAATTCATGCACAACAAATATGTATACTTCACACATACTTGGGTCATTTCATACAATACAGGTAGTCCTTGGTTGAGGACTGCTGTGTTTAGTGACCATTTGAACTTTCAACAGCATTGAAATAGTAGTTTTACAACTGGTCCTTGAACTTAACTCTAGTCAGTTGGGTTAACAGAACAGAATAACAGAGTTGGAAGGGACCTTGAAGGTCTTCTAGTCCAACCTGCTGCTCAGGTAGAAAACCTATACCATTTCAGACAAATGGTTGTCCAATCTCTTAAAAACTCCCAATGTTGGAGCAGGGAATTTCTTCTTAGTTCTAAGTTGCTTCTCTCCTTGATTAGTTTCGATCCATCTCTTCTTTGTCCAGCCTTCAGGTGCTTTGGAGAATAGCTTGATTCCCTCTTCTTTGTGGCAACCCCTGAGATATTGGAACACTGCTATCATGTTACCCCTAGTCCTTCTCTTCATTAAACTAGACATACCCAATTCCAGCAACTATTCTTTATATGTTTCAGCCTCCAGTCCTCTGATCATCTTTGTTGCTCCTCTCTGTACTCTTTCTAGAGTCTCAACATCTTTTTTTACATCGTGGTGACCAGAACTAGATGCAGTATTCCAAATGTGGCCTTACCAAGGCGTTATAAAGTGGTATTAACACTTCACATGATCTTGATTATATCCCTCTGTTAATGCAGCCTAGAACTGTGTTGGCTTTTTTGGCAGCTACAGCACACTGCTGGCTCATATTTATGTAATTGTCCACTAGGACTCCAAGATCCCTAGCACAGTTACTATTGTTGAGCCAGGTACCACCTATACTATACCTATGCATTTGGTTTTTCTTGCCTAAATGTAGAACTTTACTTTTTTCACCATTGAATTTCATTTTGTTAGATAGCACCCAGTTTTCAAAATCCTTCTGTATCTTAAGTTTATCTTCTGGAGTGTTGGCTATTCCTGCCAGATAGGTGTCCTCTGCAAATCTGATGAGTTTCCCATCTATCCCCTCATCCAAATCTTTGATGAAGATGTTGAAGAGTATTGGGAGTACCCCACTGCATACTTCCCTCCATGTAGATGCAGTTCCATTGAGGACTACACTTTGAGTGCAGTTGGTCAGCCAGTTACTAATCCATCTGGTGGTGATTCTTTTCTAACCCACATTTTCCTATCTTATCAAGTAGTAGGTTATGCTTTACTTTATCAAATGCCTTACTGAAATCCAAGTAAATTATATCCAAAGCATTTCTCTGGTCCATTAAGTTGCCAGCATTAAGTCTCAAGTTGATGTCATACTTAATGACATGAATGATTTGGTTAACATCTGCAGCCGAAATGACATTGTAATTCTAGCATTGTTACATGATGTTTTACTTAACTACCATGTTGCTTAGTGATGGAGTTGCCGGTCCAAATTGTGATTATTAAGTAAGGACTACTACAGGAATAACCAACACTCCAGAAGACAGGCTTAAGATACAGGAGGATCTGGACAGACTTGAACACTGGGCACTATCTAACAAAATGAAATTCAGTGGTGAAAAAAGTCAGGTTCTATATTTAGGCAAGAAAAACCAAATGTACAGGTATAGTATAGGGGGTACCTTGCTCAATAGTAGTAACTGTGAGAGGGACCTCGGAGTCCTAGTGGACAATCACTTAAATATGAGCCAGCAGTGTGCTGCAGCTGCCAAAAAAACCAACACAGTGCTAGGCTGCATTAACAGAGGGATAGAATCAAGATCACGTGAAGTATTAATACCACTTTACAATGCCTTGGTAAGGCCACACTTGGAATACTGCATCCAGTTTTGGTCACCACGATGTAAAAAAGATGCCGAGACTCTAGAAAGAGTACAGAGAAGAGCAACAAAGATGATTAGGGGACTGGAGGCTAAAACATATAAGGAACGGTTGCTGGAATTGGGTATGTCTAGTTTAATGAAGAGAAGGACGAGGGGGGACATGATAGCAGTGTTCCAATATCTCAGGGGCTGCCACAAAGAAGAGGGAGTGAAGCTATTTTCCAAAGTGCATGAAGGCAGGACAAGAAGCAACGGATGGAAACTAATCAAGGAGAGAAGCAACCTAGAACTAAGGAGAAACTTCCTGACAGAACAATTAACCAGTGGAACAACCTGCCTCCAGAAGCAGTGAATGCTCCAACAATGGAAGTTTTTAAGAGATTGGACAGCCATTTGTCTGAAATGGTATAGGGATACCTGCCTGAGCAGGGGGTTGGACTTGATGACCTCCAAGGTCCCTTCCAACTTTTTTATTATTACTATTACTATTACTATTACTATTACTATTACTACTATTATTATTATTATTATTATTATTATTATTATTATTATTATTATTATTATTATTATTATTATTATTATTATTCCAAATAAGAGAACTAGGAGAAAACACCCCACTTACCAAATCCATATCAGAACACTACTAATTCATGTGTATTATCTTAGCAAGAACTAACAAGGAGATTGAGTAACCTTTCTAACATTGCTAACCTTGCTAACTTTTCAAGGTGATTAAGTATGAATGATGTTCCTGAAAAATCTTATGAAGAACAGGTCAGGAAGCAGGATATATGTACTGATCAAGGGCCCTGATCATACATGAGTTTCCATCCAAACACAGATCTTAGCACTTTTTTATTCTATCCATAATATCTTTCTCATGTGGTCTGTGATAGATCCAGTCCATAGGTCCAGCACACATGTAAATTACTTACCATTTTGTGTGCTTTTAAGGATTCGGATTTATATACCTGCTTGGAAACTTGGGGATTGTCATGTATTATAAATTTTGTACACTTCTACAGGCTTCTGTAAGGTTCAATAAGGTTCTGAGGACTTGTCGTGATGCAAACTTGGCTTTCTATGCCTTGGTGTCTCATTCTTTATTATCTCTGATATTTCATAGCCCTCCTCTTGGCCTCTTAACATGTTGTCCTCTCCTCTTCTCAGGAAACCATTTCTCCCTTCTATCTCTATCTTTCCAGAAGAAGGAGATTTGATTTCTTCTGTATCATTAGTCTTCCTTCAACATACCCCTGAAACTTCTTGATTGTGAGCACAGTGCACAGTGTACATTCAGGCAGTTCCTTCATGCCCATAATGCCATCTCTCTATGCTTAACCCACGTTCTCCCATATTTCTTACTCTTCTCCTACATTTCAAATAGAGACATAATGTGTCTGATGATGTTTGCCTCAGATTATTACTACTAGTACTTCTCCTGCCTTAGTTAACTTAATAGTAGCAAGCTATTTAACATGGTTTTTATTCTTCTATGAATGAGTTTATAATTATTGGACAGGCAATGGTATCTATAGGATTTGAGGAAAGGAATCTTTCAAATTAGTATTAACACATAAAAAATGAACAGCTGTTGTGAGTGTTCACATTGTGCACATTAAATAAATCAGGTAACACATATTCTTAATACTTAATACTGTGTATAAAAGATGAAATAAGTTTGAGTAGTGTGACTTTGCATCATCTCTTTTTTTCTTCTTTCTTAATTTCACTTTCTTAAAGTTTCCTTGTTGCATAAAATCTAGGGATTGTAATTTAATTCATTATACACAAACAGATTGACTAGAACTCAGTCTCAGCATTCCCACCATCACCACACAAACTGTGGCACCACAAGGAACTTCTCCTGGGAGGATCTTCTTGAATAGTCAACTTGGATTGGAGTAGATGGTCCTTCAGTTATCTTAGATTTATTTATTTGGATTTCAGACTTGCTTTTCTTTATGCAGATGCTGAATACGAATCTGAGAGGAGAAATGACTGTTGTGCCCATTGGAAATCAGATAACTCTCAAAGATTGCAAGTTTATACAAGAGATTGCAAAATATCTGTTGATCAGCTGCAAAGAGGTACTTGTTCAAAGAGGACATTGCAAAGAGGACATTGCAGAACAGTTTAACCAGTTGCAAAATAAATACCATGGTGAAAAGATTCCCTTCTCTATTACTACTTTCTTTTACCAAGAAACAGTACGCATTTTAAAAAGTAATAGCAACCAATCCAATAACATTATCTTGGAATTTAGCTTCAGTACAGTAAACAAATATTAACTCTAAAATGATGAATATAACCACAGTAGATTTAAAATAATGCCGCAGAATAAAGCTGAATGTATGTACATCCATAATCATTTTTAAAAGGTACTAATCTAGAACTGTCAGATAGGGTGGAACAAGCAGATTAACCCACTAATGAAATAATTTAATATTTAAACCCCTTTAAGGGGTATCTGATTTCCACAGACATAAAGGGAGGAAGGAAGCAAGTCCCAAGTTATGGGGCCACATCCCAAAACCTGAACCTGCCCCCTAAAGTAAGAAACCAAAATAAGACCCTGTTGTTTGGAACATAACCAACAAACAAGACTGTAGGAGGAAATAAAGCAGACTGATACTGGGGAGTTTGTGACTGGAGGGCCTTAAATAAAAGTAGTATTAATTTAAACTTGAGTCTGCTTTCACTTGGCAGCCAGTGAAGAACCCTATATGGTACTAAGATGTGAGAATAATATGAAAGGTTCAGAACAAGCTCAAATGGCACTGTTATGCTCTATGAAGATAAAACATTCCAGGGTGGTTGACTACACATCATCAAGAGCCATAAAAGACTGATAGAGTTCGGTATCATCAATGTAAACATTGATATTGGAAACCGTGATTCATAATTAGGGCACCCAAAGGGAAAGATAAACAAAATAGCACCCATATTTGATCCCTGAGGGACAACCCCTTCCTAGGACTTTAATCCAGTGTGTAATACTGTCAAAGAACAAGGAAGCAAAACAAAACAAAATCCTTTTAAACCAATCAAGAGCATTGACAATGATGTCCAAAGACTACTGTATATCCTAGACAACAATATCCAATTCTCAAGTGTGTCAAATGAGACTGTCAGGTCCAAATGAAGCAGGCCCAGTTCAGCTTTGGAACGCAACAAGTAGAAAGAAGAGAGATATTTCCCACCTATATCAGACCAAAAGTCTATCTAGTCTAGATGTCTCTTCCCAAATAGATCAACCAGATATTGAATGGAAATAGATACCTATTTATGTGTGCAATACATCCCCTCTTGTTTGTGCTCACCAACCGTTGCCCCTGACACTAGAAGAGAGGGTCATCATGTTTTCTTCTAATCAGTTGTATATTCAGCACATTAAGACAATCTGCAATTTCTGTTAGCTATGTCAGGCTCTTTCATTCATGTCTTTTATTTAATTTCATTTTTATAACTCTTCTCTAACAGATTAAAAAAAGATATAATAATTATAATGCTTGATAAAAATATATTTGAAGATTGCTGGAGTGATTGAAGTACAGAACTGATGGAGAGGAAACTGCAACTTCATAAAACTTTAAAAATAAAAAGGGTCATCTTGTCCATATGCTCATTTTGCACAGACAGTATTGAATCCCAGACCTCTGTGTACTAGAGGGAGAAAGCTGGCATTGCTCAGAAAGTGATTCCCCAAACTAGCATCTCTGATCAAAAAAGTCCAGCTATATGCAAGCGTGGTTAGAGGAAATACATGTAACTAATACTTTTATTTCTTTTTCTCAGGAACTAGCAGCTGTAAGGGATGCTTTGACTCCTTCTTTGGCATGCGTGGCTGCAAAAAATGGTGATTTAACTGCCCTAAAAGTCTTACAGGATTTGGTAACTGCCTCTTATTTCATTTCTTTTTATATGATTGTTTTGGAGTGTGAAACAATTTTTGCTCACCAGTTAATTTGAACTGTGTTTTTCCAAGAGGTTATTACATGGTCTCCAGAATTTGGATTCAGAAGGAAAATGAAAATCCAGACATGTTAGATTATCTATAATCAATTTCAGGAAGTCTTGTGCATTTATTAGAAAGAACCCCAAAGTTACAGCTGATTAAAACTGGAAACGGTTTAAGAAAACAGCTACACTTTTATATTTTTGAATAGAAAGCAGCAAACTTCCTCTTTTGCTCCTTGCAGTCTAATTAAAATTCCATTAACTCTTAGTACATCCCTCAGGTAATCTTAATATTTCACAATTGCAGATGGGACATTCTTATCTTATTCTTCCTGCATCCCACATTTTTGCTTAATAAGGCAGTTGTTCTGGAAAATTCAAAAGTGAGTTTGCCTCTTTGTTATAGTTTGCCCCAATTGTTAATATTATATTACTTCTAGTCATTAGATTGTTACATGAAATTGTATTAATGGATAAAGAGTTTATATCGATGAATGTACAATGAATGTAAGAGAGGGCGAGCAGGATTCAGTTATTAATAATTCTCCATGTGAATACACACCCACACCCACATACACACACCCACACAGAGGTTCTGGATTTATATTCAGAATGTAGTTTTAGATAAGTCTTCTCCATTGGTCCTAAAGTTCATGAGAATGAATGAATGAAATAATACTAAACAAATGAATAATACAGCGATAGAAACATTTCTTGTTTGTGATAAGTCCAATTCCTGATAAACCAGAAAAAGATATGGATATACAGTAAATATTTTAAGAAGACTTTAAAGACAGATACAATTTTATATACATTTTAAACAACTTTATTGTAGGGTGGAAACTTGAGCTCTGGTGATTATGATGGTCGTACTCCACTTCATGTTGCATCCTGTGAAGGCAATTTGAAGGTAGTCAGGCATCTGTTGAAGTCCGGAGCAACTGTATATGCAAAAGACAGATTAGGAGCTACTCCACTGATGAATGCTATCAAGTTCAGGTATCTTACTAAAATGCAATTTAAATCAAGCACCCTGAAAAATTTAAGACATAACCAGCTGAATGAATTGAAGCCCAGTTTTATTGTTACCGTATATATTGGTTTGGGGACAGATAAGTATTATATGCTAAAGAGCTGTTCTCAACCACAGTTTATTCCTTTACAAAACTTGTCTTTTCCAAATCAACTTTCATGGTTGGAAATGAAAGAAATGTTTTTAGTCGTGTGCCGTAACCCAAGCAATAAAGACGGAAAACTTTCTAATAGGATAGTATAGTAAAAGATCAGTAAATATAAAGCCCTGATTGTTCTTGTTTACTCTTCAGTCTTGTTACGCATTGTATGTATTGCTATTGCTATAGAGGAGAGGAACACAATGAGTAAAGAGACTTCATATGTTTATTATTAGTTTCTATGCGGTGAAAAAATGTTTAGTGTCTATTGGGAAGATGTTTTGGCAAATATATTGCTGTATGGAATTTCACTCATCAGGGGCTGTTTATAACTTTGAAATCAATTTCAAAAATATATTTTAGAGTGTGCATGCAAATGAACATAGTATCTATATGCTGTTCTTTAAAGTAACCATATTTTTTCCTGACTAACATCTGCAACTATCACTTGACAGGTGCAACAAATTTTTGCTAACTCAAAATCAGGAAGGGACTTTTTCTGAGCATTTTAATGGATTTTAGCACTCTGTACATGTTATGCTCCTCTCTGTAAACTACAATCTATTTTTTCTCCTTTTAATTCTAATTGGCTTAACTATTTATTTCGTTGTCTCTATCCTACCAATTGAACAAGAAAGTCCAGTTTTTGCAGATACTGTATATATTTCTATATAAACCATTTATTAAAATTAAGTATGTGTATGCAGAGCATGCCTCTTCACATCTATGGAAAGAGTTTGATGCAAGAGATCTAAATGTTTGCTTATAGCAGCTTTCCCCGTGGCTCATCCTTGTACAACACTCACTAGTAAAGCTTTCTCTTTAAGGATTAAGAAAAATGCCTGCTGTAGTGTAGCTTTCTGATGAGTTCCAGAATTGTTGGATAACAATTTCCATCATCACCAGTCCACAAGGCTAAAACTGGTCAGTACCTCACACTCTTGGCTTAGTATTTTCCTAAGATATTTGGCATCTGTTCCAAATGATCTGGGACCATATGATGGCTAATCAGGTCCTACAAATACTAGAACATAGGAGAGGAATTTCCTAAGAGTTTCTAGTGCAAGTGAAAAACACTTGCAACTGAGCAAAGGTAGCACTTGCTCAGCATGCCTGTGCAAAATGTTCTTTAAAGTAACAGCAATGTGCCTGTGTGTGTGTGTTTTAACCACACCCAGGGCTGCCTGAGGAATTTCACATGAGTTTGTTATTCAGATTCTTTTGCTTTACCACTCCCATAAGAGAGGGAGCTTGATCTTTTGAAAGCTGCCAAAAGGGGGACTGGAAGAACAGAATGAATTTGGGTTCAAGATTATGCTCTTGTTAGAAGGGACTTACTAGTCATCATTTTGTAGAGTCTGGAATGATTGCTTTAGGCTCCTTTATGCTGGAAGACTTTGCAGCAAATCTTAAAATGGCAGGGGATGATTTAAACCTGGTAGCATTACATATTATTACTGCAACTGAAGCAAAAATAATGTTGTACAGAGATGTTGCTTTCATTCAGCAGAAGTGTTCTGATAGTTTTAAGATTTTATGTGAGAGAAAATTACTTGCATACTAATATGCAGCCCCACATATGTGCCCAGTCACTCATAAAGCATGTTTATTTTGTGTTCAATTTCCCACCACATTTTCTTCTCAAATAAGTAAATAAATAAACTTTAGTAATAAAAAGGAATCATGAGATTTAAGGTACAACTATGTATTGCTTTTTGTGTTCATACGTGTGATAGAAACAGCTTGTGTGGGCCTTAAACATCAATATTCCTGTTTGAAATGTTGGATATTTTATGGGGAAGCAAAATAAACATCTGACAATATTTATGCCTTCTATGATTTCTTAACCCTAACTGGGCAAAGAAAAATGGTAAAGCTATTAGTCATCTGCAAATAGGTATCTTGTTCTGGCTCTTTTAAGGGCAGAGTTTTCTTGTTCTGTTGCTTCCTGTGTTTGAACTTTGTCAAGACTATGTAAAAGGTCAATTCATTATTTCTTATCAGAGAACAAAATTAAAGAATTAAATAAAGTCCATCATGTTGAGGCCTCTGTTTAACATTTGCATGTCTTTAAATTCCTGAAGGAAAGGAAATATCCTTGCTATTCTCATTCCTATAAAGATTTGCTTGCATTTCCAAGTAAGCCTACAAAAAACATTTAAAAACATATGTAAAAATAAGAATGTCAGCTGTCAGCATTAGGAAATCTTCATACTTGCTCACAGCATAATAACTATAATCATCTTTATCATGTATAATAATGCTTTGGAGTGTTTAAGGTGGGGTTATAGCTTTGCATGTAAAAGATTTCTGATTTATTCTCTGGCTTACTGAGTGAGAAGGATTTCCGATAGCACTTCTTAAGTGGATCAATCTATGACTAATGTAAAGTATTTCTATTCTATTTTTATTCTGCTCTGAGGAGCAACATCCAGGGGGCTTCCAACAACCTCCCATTCATGGGCTAAACCCAAGTGGGCCTTTACTTTTTATTTTACTTTTTCTGTTCAGTCCCATAATGTAGATAAGAAGCTGAGACTGAAGTTGATATTTTGCTTAAAGCCCTGCCTACTAGTTCTCATCTGAAATAATCCAGGATCTAGGCCAAGAACACGTGCTGAAATCAATGGAACATATTGTGATTACCTCAGAAAATTCAGCATTTGTGTCACAAAGAATGAGACAGGGCTTGCAGTTTACCTATTCAAGGCACTGACTTACCTGTATATAGTAATTATCTGCAACTCAGTAAGAATTCCACCCAGTCATTAGACATTTCTGTGTCAGGTGAGTTGTCTGTCTGCTTCTGCTTTTAATTTGAATATTAAACAAGTTATTTGTAGCCCTTGATGTCTTCAAAAGAGTTTTCGGATATTCAAGGAGTGTAATCAGCGGTTCCACATTGTCTTCAGCTATGCATGTGCATAACTTGATGGTACAGAAAGGCGCCTATGAGCCTGTGCAATTTGAGGCATTTAGAACTGACAGTGCAAAAAATCATATGGATGTTTCCTCAGGAAAAAGTCTTGTGGCACTCACTAGGATTTACACCTGGATGAAATTCAGAGAATTTTATTCCAAGTACCTAGGAGCCCACAAAGAGGACTCCTGCAGTTTAGTGTGATTCACAATTCACTTGCTTCTACCCTCCCCCCAAATGGTATGACCTAATTCATGCATAGGTTATCTTCAATTTCCACAAACATTTATTCATATAAATGGTACATTTGAAAAGTTACCTACTAACGAAAAAGGGGAAAATATCTAAGGTGATATTTTGTTTCTCATGGAATATTTGCAATAAAGTGTTTAAGATAATAAGCAAACGTAATCTGTACTGAGCAATGAAGACTTAATAATACTGCTTTGCGGGAGAAGGGCAATTGCTTTGATAGTGTGATTTTAATAGTATAATAAATGAAACGTAAAAATATTTTGAAAAAAAATGTGTGTAGCTTATTGAGAAACAATAAATCTTAAGAAAAAAAATCCAGTCCCTGCCTTAGATACATATCTAATAACCTAAGCTAGATGGAGGGTGTTTTAAACTTTTTTACCCCTGAAAACATATGACTAATATCTTGCGATTTACTTTCTAATCTACTTGAGATACAGAAGGAATCCCTGTTTCATTCTTCAGAGATTTGGTCCTACTTTTAGACAGAAATGCAGGTTGTTATATCATCTTTAGGAATGGGCCACTAGATTACTTTGCTCACAAAAAAGCCCAAACCTATGTCTAAAGTGCTTTGCAAGGGTCTCCTTGATGAGTGGAAAAGTGTGGAAGAAAGAAAGTTGGTATATGCATGGAAGATCACTTAGCATGGTTCTCAAACCACAAATGGTAGTTTTAACAAAATGAAATGCTTGCTAATTTTTAGAATTAAAAATATTCAATGATGCCTAATTGGGGAGGGGAGGGATGCTCTATTTTGATTTGTGATTTATTATTTTTAGTTTTGTTAATATTGATTGAAAAGTTCAAAAGTTCAAAAGCTGGACGTGTCCTCCAGCTTTCAAATCCTATTCAAAATAGGATTGGCACTGAAATGGGCTTTGGCCCATGAGCCATTGGAAAACAACTGGCAGTCTCAGCAGGCAGCAATGACTTTGTTTCAGCAGTTTCTAAGGAAGAGCTGAGTTGAAATAGTCTTATTCATGAGCACGGAAATAGTCTCTGAATTATGATAGCATTTCCATACAAATATTTACTGTATTAATGTTGGCTCAGCTATATTTTCTTTCTCTTCTTCCAGCTTCCTAATTTATCTAGCTTTTTCTGCCACATTACTGATCAATTATATGGGCTAATTTAACTTTTGTGATTTTTTTTTTAAAAACATCTGAGGTGACTTATCCATTGCTTTGGACTGACTACCAAAAAAGATTTTGCAACATGCAAGAGTGGGAATGTAGCATCTGTTTGCAAACCTTTAAAACATCCACATGTTCTTCTGGGATCATATCCTGATCTCTGCAACTGCCACAGGACCATGGGAAAAGATGTGGTTGCTTTGCAGACAGGTGCTATGATTGTACATCTTTTGGGAATTGCATCCAAAGCGTTGCAGAGCCCGAAGGGGAGGCTGTAACAAATAATTGACAACAAGGTACAGTTGGAAGAAATGGTGATGTGTGTAATAAGGCAGACTGTGAAGGTAAAAATGAAGATGACTTTAGTGCATAACAGAAGTAGCCAGAAGAATAAAGGGTGCAAAACTACTAAAGTCTGGGTGATACAAGAAAACAGGACTTGATTCCTGTTTGGACTATAACATCTTTTGAAGAATTGTTCTTGATGATATGTGGAAATATGGCATTAAATACCACATAATCTTTCAGCAAAGTGTTTTGAGTTTGCACTGGTCATGTATCTCTGTGAGCAACTTTGATGCTGTTTTTAGATTAATGGTGATTGAAACCTGAATATTTTGAGTTGAAAATTCTTAGTTTGGGTTGTGGCGGTTTAACATGGAGGCATGGATGTAAATCAGCCTCCCAGTGGTACTGGGACTGCAACTCCCAGAATTCTTACTTTATTTATATAGATTGATATGGCTCCTAATGTCATAACAGGGCAGCCAACAAAGATTAAAATAATAGTTATAAGTAACAATAGTTGCCTATAATTATAAACAATGATAGTTATAAATAAACAGTAGTTATAGCTAAACAATACATTCCAATCATAAAAATCACAACACAAGAGTGCTCACCTGATCTTCTGGTCCAGGTGGTTGGGGAAACAGCCATTAGTCACCATGTCCTTCAGAAATCCAAGAAGGTGCCCTCCCAGCACAGTTTTCAATTTTTTCCCTTTAGTTTTCCCTTTAGTTATATTTAGTTAGATGTGATTTGCAGGGTCCCATTGTGAAGGAAATCCAGCGTGGGAAATCCTGCTTATCAACGGATTGAAGGTGGTGTAGATGCTCTTATTAAAGCACAAATAGGATGAAGAATAAAACTTTCTCCTTCCCCTCTTTTCTAAAGGAATCACAAAGTGATTGAGTTACTCCATAAAACTGGAGCTCACCTTTCAAGCCAAGAACTTGTGAATGTTGGGACAGAACTCTGCAGGCAAGTATGACTCTGAACTAAGCAAATATATATCTCCATCAACTGATTTATCTCCATTCAAAAACTGTACATTTGGTAACTAACAGCTGAATATGTGATTTTTAATTTTTTTAAAAAATATTGGTTTTTATGAGTAAGGCTGCTCTTTTATGACCCCTGATATGCCTTCCCAGAGGTTTTGGCATACATTTAATCACTGCTCAGTTATTGGAGGTGTAAGAGAATTCTCTCCCAGACAGTGGCAAAACTTTGAGATCAGAGAAGAGAGCTAGGATGTTTCAAATGTTTTGGGGGATATGCCAAGAGAGTCACTGGGTGTATAAATTTACTGATCCTCTAAATCAGTAACAAATCTGTAGTAATCCAGAAACTAGGGCAAATAAATATAGTTCATTCCTGTGTAATAGCTGGCAAAGAAAAACAAAATGCTGTATCTTCATTCTGTTCAGTCCTAACAAATAATGAGTTTTGCAGAACTTTAAATGAAACAGTTCCTGTGGACTCAGATCTTCCTGTCAATAGTGGAAGAATTATAGGAATTAGAAATAATGCTCTGGATTTAGCATTAAGCACCAATATAATTTGTTTTCTCATTCTTAATCTGACATTTTCTATTGTTTCATATTTTTCTGGTTCAACTTTATTTTGCCTGAGTCAGAATTTTATCCAACTTCCTATCAATCAAACAATCTGAAAAAGGGCAGAATCTTATTTTAATAGTAAATAATAAAATTGTGATACTGAGCCAGTTTGGTGCAGCAGTTAAAGGCAGTGGGTTAGAAATCAGAAGACTGTGAATTCTAGTCCTGCTTTAGGTACAAAGCCAGCTGGGTGACCTTGGAACAGTCACTCTTTCTCAGCTTTAGGAAGAAGAAACTACTTCTGAAAATCTTAACAAGAAAACAGCAAGGATTTGTTCAGGCAGTTGCCAGGAATTAAGACTTACTTGAAACTATATAAAATAAAATAAATAAAATGGTAGCAAGTGCAGTGTTCATATTAATATTGTAAAGGAATTTCTTAATTCTCATTTTACTGATTCACTGATATATTTCTTTTATAAGCTACCCTATTGTCATGTTCAGATCCCAAATTGTTTTAGTTTTGAGGGAAAGTCACTGATGACTTCCATGGGACAGCAGGATCAGCTTGGAGTTCTTGGGGAGTTTACCGGCTCCTTAGTAGGTGATCTGGTTCAGAACTTGACAACTTGAAGCAAGTTAGGCACTGGAGTCTTTTGTCTCTATACAACTTTTTTCCCGGGTGACAGTTCAGATTGACATAATGATTTATTGAGGTGTACTGGAAAATGAAACACCTGAAACAATGCCTGGAGCCCTGGTGGAAGAAGACTAAAAATGAATCCAGTCAAGCACAGGTACATGCTCATGCTTGAGCCTACACTATGTGATGCAGGAGGCAAACCTGGCTCACTTCTCTCTTACTGTGTTCATGAGGTGTTATCCAGTGACTTATATCTTCCACCTAACCACTGTGATCCACTTATTACATAGCATTTTTGGTGGCAAAGTTGCTCAGATTTGCTAAAATATTGACTCTTAATAGTGAAGAAGACTATTATCTGAGACTCCTTTTGGCCCATGACCTCCAAGGAAGGGGTTAGATCAGTGATGGCGAACCTTTTAGAAACCGAGTGCCCAAACCTCAACCCAAAACCCACTTATGTATCGCCGGATGGGTGTGGCCTGCCGGGTGGGTGTGGCTACAGTGATCATGGCAGATGGGTGGGCGTGGCCAACTCGATGTTGTTCCTGGGGAGGGACACCTGTGGGGGACGGGCAGGGTTGGGGGAGATCCAGGGGGGCTCTGGCGGGTGGGGCGGTGGGCAGGAGGCTGGTCCTGCGGGGTGAGGCAAGGCAAGGGGAGGCAGGGCGGGGGTGCCATTGTCGCAGGACAAGGCAGGGGCCTGGCACCATTGGCCCCCACACACAGTGGCCAGCAAGCGCATGGGTGCTGGGATACATCCGGCCACATGGAACCTTGGCGAGTTAGCAGGCGGCTGGTTGAAGAGGACGGTTGCCATCTCTGGAGCATGGCATGGGTGTCCACAGAGAGGGCTCTGAGTGCTGCCTCTGGCATGTGTGCCATAGGTTCGCACCACTGTGTTAGATTGTCCTCTGACATGTGTAGATTGGATCCCTGACCACCTTTCCTGTAAAGGTGGAGAAGTGACCACCTGGATCCATGAGACTGTTAATGCCTTTCTGCATCAGGGGGAGCTATTATAGAGGCAGTAGTTTCTCATTTTTTAAAATGGCTAACTAATAGTAATAACAGAAAGTGAGACTTACACTCTGAATTAGAGTAATGACATCCTCATATATCTGGTTCTGAATGGTTACATTAGATCAGGCAATTGTGCATGAAAGAGAATATTGGTGACAAAACAACTGAGAGAGTCTTATTAAATTTGCACATTTAAGGGTTGGAGGGATGGTGAGGAATGCTGGGAGTTGAAATCCATATTATTATTATTATTATTATTATTTTAATTTGTATACCGCCCTTCTCCCATAGGACTCAGGGCGGTTCACAGCATATTAAAAACAAATAATAAACACAAAATACAAAAAATTACAAAATACAAAAATACAGAAAATAAACCCCGATAAAAGCCGAATTAAAACCAAATATTACAAGCTGTGTTTCCAATTAAAATANTAAGCCTATACAAAGTTGTATTCAAAAGCAACAAATTCATTGGGAAGCAGAATTAATTTAACCAAAGAATCTCCATAGAAATTTAACCAAATCCTAGTTTAAAAGGATATTTAGAGGTAATTAATTTGTACAGTATTTGGACTACCAAAGAAGAGAAATCTTTTAAATTTCATTTTTACCTTCTATTAAATTAGTCAAAAATTCTTGGTCTGAACTATTGCAAAATGACATATGATCCCAGTTACCTTCTGCCATCTCTGGCTTAGATGATCAAGTTGCTGAAGATAAGAAAAAGAACTTAGAGAAAAGCTAATTAGCTACTGTTAACTTTCAAAAATACTGAGGCACAGGAGTAACATAATCTTTGAATATAAGACTACTTCTGTTTTGTGCTTTCCAAACAGCAATTCCATAATGCCAATTAATGTAGTATTAATTCCCAAGGATGACAGGCTTGAAATGTGCTTTGTAAAATCTTGTTTAGTTGTCAAGATTATTAAGAGGAGTGGCTTAAAAAAACTTTATATTCTTTAGGAAATAGATTAACCCACTTAGCCTTTTCTGCATGGGAAAATCCAGTTTAACAGGTTAGTCACAGATGACAGCAAAGTGCTTTGGGGCTGCATTCAACAATCAGAAAAATGATAACTGCATAAAAACATTTTATTGAGACATTTTGTTTGCTTAGATTGCTTTTCTAACCAAATCATTGTTTCATTTCTCCATGAAGGCTTTTATTTATTATGGTTCATTGCACAGTCAGCCAGAGGTTCAGACTGGATTTGGCATTTTTATCTTCCTATCAAGTTCTTCCCAAGGACCTGGGATAGGTAGATGTTATAGTTGGATGGTGCAAAAGGTATCACTGCAGGAAGTAAGCTGTTCCAAATAAAGCTGCCTTCTACAATTGATGCTGATGGTGTTCAAAGTGTGCTCCTGTAGCTTTGGAATTGTACCTTGCTTTGATACTATCTTTCTTTTCTTTTGCCACAGTCATTCTACTTCTGTTTGGAGATTTTTGTATTTTGTGATTTTCTCCATTTCTTTCTCTTTTCTCCTGCTCTCTCCAGGTATTGCAACATCCACTATCCAGACTTTTTTCTTTGTTATCAATAATGTTTAACTCTGGAGTGTTATGTAGCAGATGCTTGTTTGACTGAATTCTAAAATTACACAGCACTTTAGCTTCTTCATTTTCTATTACTTTTCCTAAGTTTTAATCCCACCAGCTTGCAAACAAATGATATTTCTTGCAGATGTTCCAATGCACCATTGTTGTTACTTTGTTATGCTGTTGTTTGTAGTAAGTTCATGTGATCTTATTATAGCAGCAAACTAGGTGGCCCACTGTTTTTTCAGCTTCTTTGCAGAGGTGGCATTTGCTGTCTGTTGCTGTCTTCTCAGTTCTGGCTTTATATGTTCTAAAGGTCTGGTTTTATACTGCCCAAATTAGCCCTTTATCTGTTTCTTCAACTTTCCTTCTCTTAACTATTGCCAGGACTTGTTGTTATCTGCTTTGCCTACTATTGGCTATGTAATATTTTGCTTTGTCATATCTTTTCAGTTCTTCATTTGGTCTTTCTTGTAGGCCAAATTGAAAATGAGGGATTTTTGCAATAGATTTATGTTGCTTTTGTCAATGCCGATGGTAACTTTAAAATTTAATTTAAGACTGAAGAACTGAAAGTCCTGCAGATATTCTTCTAATGCCTTTTTATCTGTACTTGCAAATTCCATGGTCACCTATTTTTCTTAGTAAGTAGAGTCTGTCAACGTTGCTTCATGGATGAAGGGCATGACTTGTGATTATTTTTCTGGTCTCCCTATCCAGAGCTTTTAGTTTTGCTTGAGTCTAGTCCACTATTCCAGCTGTCTATCTAATGAATGGAATTGCCAAGATGTTAATTGCCTTGATGGAATTTCCTCCATTGAGTTTGTACTAAGATCTCTTCACTCTCATGATGTATTCACTTCTAACCTTCTTTTTGTCTTTGGTATGCGTGATGTTGTCAGTTTGAAGTATGCCCAGGTATTTGTAGTGATTTTACTCATCCAGGCTTTTGATGTTATTCTAAAGGGCATCGATATTCATTCAGTTTTCACTATTTTACTCCTGTTGATGGTAAAGGTGACATATTTTTCCAGTCCAAACTCCATTGAAATATCTTGGTTCTATATACAGAAAATTTTGAGCAGTGATTCTATCTCATATGGTGTTTTTCCATACAGTTCAGTTTATCTATGTAAGGAAGGTGGGATAACCTGGCAAATATGTTAAACATATGTTAAAATGTGGCTATTTCACTTGAATACATATG